TTTTCTATTTTGTTCAGGATTTTCAGTTTCTACCTCATTTTTTTCCCCATTGTTTTTCAGAGAGGATCCAGTTAAATCAACCTGCCCATGTCTAATGGAGATGCTGTTAGTGTTTAAATCTGCAGGGAAGGACCAAGAATCGCATGTCGATCAAAATGTCCTGTAAATAGGAAGATGGCTCAATGAATCCATGTTATTCAGTGTGAACGTGACTGTAGCAATGATTTTAAGTTTCAGCTCTGCTTCTATGTGGTGACTATTTATTTGAACTGTAAAATATGAATATAATTCTAGACATTTTGCACTATTGCAAATGGAGCAATACAAAAATGAAATAAAGATGTTCCAAATGTGATCCAAGTTTGAGACAAGATCTAAATCTTTAAATCAGCACATTTTCAAATATATTGCGTCTCACTGTGTCTTGTCCTGTGAAAGCACACTTTGAACCTTGGCTCACTTGATACAACACGATTGCTTGGTAGTGTCCCAAGATGCTCTCCTTTCACTGTGAGCTGCGCAGACAGCTGAGCACGCTCTCTTTACCCTCTCTGAAACTCCCAACTCAAATGGCCGCCAAACCTGTGGCTTCCTCTGCACACACCATTTTAACCCTATTAAATTCAATCAACCAAAAACAAAAAAAAAAACAGTCAATCCATGAATTTAGTGACAACACATACCGGCCTGCCACAAACTCTGTTTACACTTGCACAGAGTAAAGATATTCGATGCAAGAGCTGCATATGAATTTCTGCAGTGAATACTGATGTCACGATCAAAGCGGCATTAATTAAACACGGTTTATTATTGTGTTTGTAGCTCAATGAGATGAAATACAATATTGGAATCTATTAGTAACTTACCCTGCACCCCGTTACCTGATGAGATGATAAGCTGTCCACTGTAGTAACCGCTGTCCCTGAAAGGATTAAAGTGGCATTTTTGTCATACATCTGTTTTGGAAGTGTTTTTTTTTTCTTTAGGAAGATGTGTCAACAACTGACAAATGCTTCAGGTGTGTTTAAACGTCAAGTAGTTCCTTCAAACAAACAGACAATGTTTAATAAGCCTGCAGACAAGTAGTGCTGTATAGTCATCGACACGTGCATGTGTGGTTATGTGCGCATGAATTCACTGTGGTTATCACACTGTGAAAATGATAAGACAAAAAAAAAATTAACTTCTGGTTGGAAAATAAAATAAAGTACAAGGGCACAGCTTTGTGTTCGAGCAACAAAAGTTGCTATAAAAGTCATGTTAAAGAAATAAAGTATATATGTCCGTATATATATGTAGAGAAAGAGATCTATCTGATTTTAGACAGATAGATAGATAGATACCAAACCATTTATCCTGAGTATGTGACTTTCTGCCTCAATATTTAATGTTTGACTGTGAGAAAATTAGAGAGAAATACAAATTCATTTTCCAGTTTGGGTGCTTATCACATACAAAACAGAATGTGAGGAATGAATTTGTTCAACTGATAGCGAGTGATCTCGCCTTCAAAGGAGTGCCGGGGTCCAATTAAGATTCCTTTATGCTGGTCCCGTGTGAGAACTTTGGCACGGTAGAGTTTCCACTGGACACCTGATGTTTGTGCTCTCAGACCCAAGGCTCCGTTGAAGTGGGCCAAGGTGTGACTTTAGCACCGTCTCTCTCACCCGCTGAGTCTAGGATAAACAACAGGGAGCGACTCCTCAGCCACACCACACATGGAGAGAGGGAGATTAAGATTGTATCAGTTCCATTGGAAAATATGAATAAAAAGGGTTTGACACATCATGCGACAAACTCACGCGAGCTGTTACGAACACACCAGCCCCATTGAGCAATATGAAATAAGCGCGTTCAGACTTGCAAGTTTCACATTTGTCACTTCACAATCGAACACTGACGGCGCAGATACTCGATGCAAAGTCAGTCACGATAACGAAATTTCAGTGGCCAAAGACACTTTTGGCACTTTTTCTGACGAGCAAGTACAGTATACTTATACGTCCACGGTGCCAGCCAAGCTATGTCACCTGTGAAGGAAAACCAAAACCATAAAAGCATGTTCGTGATATTATGGGCTCTGAATGTTTTTTTAACAGTATATTCGAGTTGTTCACTTCTCAGTGGGCTAGATCAAATTTAGATATGAAAATGTAAATTCAGTTTCATTTCTCCTTCCTGTTCAAATTGGTAAAAGAGAGAGCTTGCTGAAAACGAAAGAGTATGGATGAATATTATCAGTCACTTCGTGACCCTGGGAGGTCATAAAGAGGTTAAAAGGTTGAAATAATGTGTTATGCACAATCTATTTACTCAACAATTACAATATGTATGCCTAATATAACTATACTAATGATGAGACAATGTTAATTGCGTTCTGCCAATATGTCAAGATAGGATCAATATCTCTTGGTAGCAGAAAGCGCTCCAGACTACAACTATTAAGAAATGTATCATTGTTTCTATGCACTTTTATTGTTTTTCAAATGTTGATCCTGAGGTTAGCATCCAAACTCCACACAGGAATGCCGGAGGCCTGATTTGAACCCACGGCCGTTGAGGCCGATGAGCTAATCACACTTGCAACTGTGCTTTACGTGAAGAAAATTGTATTTTGAGACCAATTAAGCAACATTGAATAATTTCCCATGACACACCTTGTGATCTCTCGCAACACACTCATGCGCTCAAGAACAGTGGCCTGATCTACTGTAAATGAAGTTGCCGGTACATGAGTAAGTCTCTTTCCGTCATCTTTTTTTTTTTTGGGCTGGATGATGAATCCCACTTGAAACTATGGATGGAAAACTGAAACAAGATAATGCAGGAAACCCCGGGAATATTTTGCAGGACGTCGACTTCCTTGTGCCTGTGAGGAATATTGGGGGGAGATGTATGAGTCACCATGCTGGCTGGCTGTGGCAACAAGCCCACTGTCATATTTCTCCACGATGGGCCACATATTATTATGACATCTCATTTAATTTAAGAATGGCAGGACTATGTATCTATTGATTGATAGTCAGTCTGTCTATCATTCAATCAATCACTCAATCTGTCTATCTCACTGTGGTTTCAAGTGATGTTTGTTATGATTAGTATATTTTGTCCTCATAAATCTGTCACCTTATATTTGTTATTGATGCTGAATTCCTATGAATACATTTACGAATAGAAACAATCCAAATATAAAAGGTTGGCGTTATATTAAAGGCCTTTTTGGATGTGTTTTTGGAATAGCTGCACTTCTAAGATGTTTATTGTTAACAAACCATTTATGTATTCATCTTACCTACCGACATCCATAACAAAGTTCTCCTGTGCCAATCATCAAATGAAAAGATTAACTTTCCCTGGTTCAGTTTGATCTTGTTTCACACTTAAACCGATGTTAGGTCATATCAGCACACAAGCAGCTCAATCAGTCGGCTTCACTTTGTTGATTAAATCACATTTCTTTGAAATTGTCACAGGTTGCTGAGCCCATCAAAGAAGAGATTTTGAGAGAACAATAAAGTAGTGTTGTACGTCAAAGTGATAACGACCGCGAAGTGGACTGTTGGTGCCTCAGGTATATCCGTTTTACAACCTGTTCAACAGGTTAGCTGCAAACGAGCGGCACGTGTTGGATTTTATAACTAAGATGGCCGCAGACAAAAATAGAAATAAAACCACACACGTAGCACACCTGTCCGACTGATAAGAGATAGGAGTGTGTATCGCATTCCCTCTTTTGTCCTTCTCTGGAAAGGAACATATTTCCTTGTAATGGGCCTAATTCTCAATGGCATCATTTATAACTTTATTTGGAAGTTCCAGATGGAAAGGTAACTAGAGATATACAGCCAATTTCTTCATATTACAATAGATTTTGTTCCATTGTACTGTAATATCTGTTTCTTGTATTTGTGTGGCGTCATAGAGAGGGGAGGGGCCAGGTTGGGGGAATATTGGCTCCGGTAGTTTTAGTCTGAGTGTGGAGTGCATGGGCGTGAGTTGAGGCTAACAGCAACTCCTATGAATGTGTGTTTTATTGCTCCTTTTTTTGTTTATTAAAAACGACAGATTATATCAGCGACTGCGTGCATCCTTCTTTCCGCATTGAAGGGCATTACAGTACTGTTCCAAATCCTAATCATTTCGAACTTGGCAAACTGGGTTTAGGTTTTGATACCAATTCAACTTTGAGTTACACAAATGTATTTAATATTTAAACTCATGCATTTGATCAGAATTTTAATTATTTGGGACTTATCCCGTTTTACATTTTGAGAACGTCTCTTAAGACTCCAAATGTACCAGTAAGGATTTCATTTCAAGGCTATTTATCTCTTGGGAGCGAGCTCCTTATATGCAAACTGGATAGCCACTCTTTGCAAACACATATGCAAATAAAAACCTTTCGAATACACAGGCCTCCTGTTTAACCATCTATGCTTTACATCGCGCACACTGACAGACGACTGACTGCCCAGGGCAAGAACACGATCGGGGGGTGTCACATTCCCTGTGTTTAAAGTTACCCGCCTATTTCTGCCATTCATATTGTGTACGCGAATCGGGTCACATAAGGCTTCCTGGAGAAACATTTCCCAAAATGACAAGAAGAATGTTAAACATAAGCGCTAATTAGAAATAACCTTCTTACAGTGGCAGGTTGTGCTCATGCCCGGACATGCCGCATTGGAAGCTCCGTCCTATCTTCTCTGATTGACACACAACAGTCTGTTTTCAGAGACCACCATTTTTTTTCCAGTGGCGACCCACACACAATGAGACCCATTTGGCTCCTGGAAGGTGTGAAACGGCACACTTCTCGTCCCCCCCCTCCCCGGCGAGACTTGTCTTTGTAGCTGCCAGGATTGATTTACCAGACAGAGCCAAGTCCCATAAGGTGTGAGCCCAGCTGATTATTCACACACACGAACGCGCAGAGTCAATGACAACCCCCCCAAACTCCGCCCACTTTTACGCAGGCACACTCGGTATACAACTCTCAGCTCACACGCTGCTCACTCTGTTTGACGAGAGCACGGCGTGCACTGCGCTGCCCCTCCGGACTAATTGCATCCACCAAACACTTATTTTTTCTCCGACTGAGGAGAAACACACGAAGAGCGGCATCATGGGGAGCAGCATTTCATGTGTGCCCCAGCACAACTTCACCTTCTCCAGCAAAAGTTTTATCCGCAGAAACAGGTAAGTACTATTATCCGGATATACTTGGTCTATTCCATAATGTGTATTCGATCTGCACCTTCCCGTCAGATAGTTTACTTTTTGCCCGTGATCTGAGGTGGAAAGAATTCTCAGCATTTGACCAGGCTTTGGAGAAGAAGGAGTTGTGAATTATCAGATCCCACAGTAACACGGGATCATACCAGTGGCTTTGGTTCTAAGAGTTGTGTCTGACTGGTGGGCGGACTGGCCCTGTGTTCAACGATCCGGTTACCGTTTGCTTCCTCCACACATCTCTATGAGTGTGAAGATGATCTGCCAGCTGTCAGTGATTCCAGTGACCCAATAACAAAAATCAGGCCTTGACCGCCTTAAGGTCCTCTTGACATGGGGCCAATTATACTTAACTCAGCAAAAAATCTGTAGCAGAATCAGCTTGTCATGATCCTAACTCTGTAAGTGATGGTTGATACGGCTGGTTTTGTTCAATCCCACCGGATTATATGTCTGGACATGCTCCGAGTCAGTGTTGGATCATCACATCTGATTCCCATTAGCACCCGTTCTTCTAGCTTGCACTGATGATTCAGTTTCTGGTTTTCACCAACTTGCCCAGAAGCTCTTAAAATGTGGTTTGTATTTGTAAACACACACACACACACACACACACACACACGCACACACACACACACACACACACACACACACACACACACACACACACTGAGCAGCTACACGTGTTACAAGTTGGATCACTGGCTCAAGTATGCACAGTAAATTTTGAATTACAGTTCCTTATGTGGTTAAATGCCATTGCGATGACTACTAGAGGATGCTAGGTGTGTAAATGCACCGCCTTATCAGCATTATATCCACGTTCTTTTTTTTTTTTTTTTTAATGCTGCACCCCCCGATAGCAACGTTGGGGTTTTATTTTCATACGTTTTTTTTTTTTGAAGTTAAATGCCATTGCGATGACTACTAGAGGATGCTAGGTGTGTAAATGCACCGCCTTATCAGCATTATATCCACGTTCTTTTTTTTTTTTTTTTTAATGCTGCACCCACCGATAGCAACGTTGGAGTATTATTCTCATACGTTTCTCTTTTTTGAAACAAAACCAAAGTGTAACGGAAAAGCATTGGATGGCTTTAAATGATTGACGCTGGTCACTGACTTCCTGATTAGACAGAACTCGATTCCCACCATGCAGACAAAGGCCCACTTTGTTGCACATACGCACACATACACGCACAGATAAGCAGATCAACTCCCAAAGTGACACTGCAACAGCCGTGCTGAAGCGCTTTATCGGGGACACCGAGGATGCTTCCTCATGAAGATGTGACACTAATGGTAGCAGGCGAGGGTCATGCAAAACAAAACAAAGAGGAGCATTGAATGCTGATTTTCCTCTGCATATCAGCAGCCCAGGAGTCAATTGTTCGAATTAAGTAAATGTCTGTCACTGATGTAATTGAGACAAAGGGAGGAGGTTAATTGTTGGGAATTGTCTGCAGAGGAGGGTGGAGTATAATTACTTGAGAATAATATGGCTTATGTAAAAGTAAAATAGTTCTCCAAATAATCAAAAGCGTAATAAAGAGTACTATAAGTATTCAGCGTAGGGGGAGTACTCGAGTAGTACCAGGTGAATTACTTCGGATTCATTTATTGTTTTAAACAGAGCAAATAGGCAAAAAATATATGTGAACATGCATGTTCAGAGATTGCCCCACATTACTTTAAAGAAAAGAACTCTAATCTCTGTAATCTTCATGAATGGATTTAAATTGAACCAAATTGGCCACAAGAAATTGGTCTTGAATGAACTTTCTTTGTTTGCGCTCATGAAGTGGCAAATTAGGCTCAGCAGACAGAAATTACGCCCGCCCCCCCAATTTTTTTTTTTTTTTTTTTTTAAAGGCATCTTAGAGAATGAAATAGCTTTTCTCGGAACTTCCTGGCTTTCTTTGATGGGTGAAATAAAGTCAAACGTCACCAGCGGTTATATTGGATTGGCGAAAGATTCGTGTGAAAGCGACAACACAAGAGCAACACTAGTTTAACCCTTTCAGGGACAGCGGTCACTAACGTGGACGGCTTCGCATGTTATCAGGCTAAAGGTCATCATTATTGGTGGATGAAAGTGTTCAAATTAAAGTAACCTGTGCAATGTACTGTTACTCAGTGTGACAGCATTAAACAAAAAAAAAAAGCATTCATCGTTAAGACAAATACTCAAGTCAAAGTAAAATGTAAGCTGTATCCAAATTCGGTACATAATGTAATGGAGTAAATGTAGAATGTTACTACCCACCTCTTATTGTCCGACTTCGAATTTGAAACAATAAAATGAAGTGTTGAATAACATCACGAGCAGTTCTAATCTTTGCTCTATCTCCCGGGGACAGAAATGGACGACAGGCAACGCCTATAAACAGGAAATGTCCCTTGAAAACGCACTTGGGAAGAAAGTAATAAACACCGGAGAAAAAGCACTGACAAGACTTTCTCCCATTTGAGCAGCAGTCGCCTGTTTCGCAAGAAGAATCCCCAAGAGGGCCAGGAGAAGTCCAACAGCATCATCAATATCCTCTGCACGGTCACCCCGAGGAAGGTAAAACCCCCCATCATCTGTAATGCAACTGTCCTGCTGTGTGTACATGCAAAGTCAATGCTAATCGGTGGTCCGGTTGCAGGAAATGTCCACTAAAGACCTGCAGACCATCGAGAACATCAAATGGGATCCTCCATTCCCGTACGACCCGGCAAGCGGCTGGAAGAAGAGCAGCATCAACGTGAAGAATTACGGGCGGCTGATTCACAGCGCCAAAGTTCGTTTCCGCTTCCTGCACTGCCAGGTGAGCAGAACCGCTCGCTCTTTTTTTTTTTTTTTTTAATGGCCTTGTTATGAACCAATAGGCAAACCTTATGATACTACATTATCCAGTTTAATCAACTGCTTCCTGTGAATTAAAATATGGCTCAATGCTGCAGTGACACATCCATACCAAACCGGAAGGTGTCAAAATGATCAAAAGCAGGTGCAGCCTTGCAGGACGCTACTGTGCGAACATTGAAATACAGAAACTAGGTGATGCAACTGACATGGTGGTTCGCTGTGAATAATTCAATCCATTTTCCAGCCTGTGTTTGAACACGCTTTGCAGAGTGGTAATTGTGAAACATCTTTGGGAGAAAAAAAAAACCTCAGGGTAGAAGGAGAGAGAGAGAGAGAGAGAGAGAGAGAGAGAGAGAGAGCGCTCTCCTGATCGCACGTCCTGATAGACGGCAGCTTGTGCAAAGTCAAAATTGTCGGCGCTGTGACACAACAACTCTGTCCAGAACAACAACAAAAAGAGTTCAAAGATTGAGAAACGGACCGAATGAATTAAAAAAAAGAAAAAGAGCACAGGAAGCAAAATGTGTTTCTTAAGATGCGGCCAATTTGTGAAGTATTTCAAAAGATGGGAGAAAACCATCCCAGAATATTTACCTGACATCACACGTGAAAGTCAAACAATTCCTTCTATTTCTGAGAATCCAAAACTTACACCTCCCTCACGCTTCCTTGAAATCATCGATGAATCAGCAGCTGAGACAACATGCGGGCCATTGAAAAAGCAGTTGATCTTAACTTTCCGCATGACATCGCCAGATGATTCTTCTCAGACAAAATAAAAAGTCGCAAGCAAGAGACGCCGACACAAGAGTTGAATGTAAAAAAAACAAAAACTAAAAAGATGCATTTACAATGATAACAAGACCTCATTTTGACCGAGACCTTTACAGAGTTATTAATTTAACAATTTATATAGTCTACATTGTATGAAGTGCCGAGTCAATGTAATCTTTATCTACGGTTTGCAAAATCTTGCCACCTGTAAAGGAAGCCAATTACAGCAACAAGTCCAACTTGACTTTTGAGCTTCTCATGTTGTCTCTTCAGGATATACACGATTGCTACCTGGATCTCTTCCAGACACACCTTCATTTTGTGTCCAACAACACCCCTGGATTGACATACCAGGTGAGTTTTTTTTCCCCCTCTTCAACCTCAAACACTTTGATACCTTCCTTCAAAAATCCATGCATGAATCACTACGTCAGCATTTTTACGAGGTTTCATGTTCGCTGGGATCAGACGTTGGAGTCATGCCGTCATTGCTTCTGACATACGTATCCAGTCAACCGAGGGGAGTGTGTTGGTAAACAGATAGTATGATTACATATCGTCACCTGTCTACTGGAGCATGAGCAGTCATTAATCATCCGAGCAGCTCGTCCGCTGAAGTCAAAGCGCCCATCTAGTCGTCACACACAAGGCAGCATTGACATGGTGAACTTGGCTCATCTCGGTTTAGTTAAAAAAAAAAAAAAAGAAAAAAAATCTTTTGTTAGAACATGGTAAGATGTGACTGACTGAAAACAAACATGGCGGAAGCTTTATTCACAAAAAGTGATGTGTCATAGTTTTTTTAGCGATTCACACCGATGACTCAGTTGGCTTTCCGCAATTACTTTACAACTGACCGGAGAACGTTCCGGCGTTTGGTCCACCGAATCACGAGGAACAGAACAAACTGAGCAGCAAACGATAGATGGATCATCCTTGTGCTGTTTTGTGTGCAGGGAACTCTTCCGCTGAAAGAGCTCACCATCTGCAACCCGCAACAGAACTGCAACCACAGCCAACCGACGGAGTACGCCTTTCAAATAAATGGTGAGCGCTGAAGAATATTTTCTTGTCACATGACTATTACAGCATTGCTGTTGTTATTTGAAATCTGAAATACACATTACAAAGTGACTTATGAATAAAACTGCCATTGGGGTGGGTCAAATTCATACTGGACTCAGCTAATCCACCAGGATGTTTCCAAGTCAAATGTTGTGTTGAAAATACAAAAAGAGAAATTAAAAAAAAAAAATAAAAATCTAATGACGGAATAGTTCAAGTCTTAAATTGCGTTCAGTTTTGCTGGAGGTCCCTCTTATCTCAGATAATCAAAGTTGCATGGCCTTAAAAAAAAAAAAAAAATCCAGTGACCATGCGTTCTTTTCAAGGTCCAGCATTTCGTAGATTATCGCATTCCGGTAATTCAACGGCAGTGTGACCCTTGTCACCTCCACTCAACTTCAAGACTAACTAGAGTTGGGCCCCCCTTTAACCTTGGTCAGAGGGCCAAATCTGCCTCAGAGGCCTTACTTGCTCGACAACAGGTGCAGTTCAGAGGGGCCAGCTGTCCCCCCCAAAAAGCCACAGCTACCATTCTCAGCCTTGTCACTGGTGCAAATCTACCTCCCATGCCGCAGACGAATGCCACCTTCATTTTTGAACTTGCTATACACCAGAAAATGTTGTGGAAGTGAAACGCTTTTATTGGGAAACACGACACAAATAGTTTAACTGGTGGTGTATGCGGAAATTACAGGATCGGAGGAAAAATGAACCCGTGGACGTCAGTTTCATAATATCTCAATAGACCTCAGGCATTATGTAACCCAGGCATCTTTGCCGAGTCAACTGTTACACGTCATACATTAGGTGTAACATCCATTCATACATTTTCTAATCCGGATCGCGGGGGGTGCTGCAGCCTATCCCAGCTGTCTTCGGGCAGTAGGCGGGGGACACCCTGAACAGGTCGCCAGCCAATCGCAGGTCACACATAGACATACAACCATCCACGCTCACACTGACACCGAGGAACAATTTCGAGTGTTCCATTACCCTGCCATGCCTGTTTTCGGAATGTGGGAGGAAACCGGAGTACCCGGAGAAAACCCACGTAGGCCCGGGGAGAACATGCAAACTCCACACAGGAAGACCGAAGCCTGAATTGAACCCTGCACCTCTGCACTGTGAGGCAGACGTGTTGTCACTCACTCGCATGACGAAGCAAACAAGTGATCGGAAACTTACAGGAAATGTTAAGAGCGGCGTGAAAGTTACATAACAGTGGTTTTATTACCTTCAACAATGTGTTTCTGTTTCTGTTCCAAAGCCTTTCCTTTCTTCAACCTAATGAGCTTGTTACAAGAGCGATATCAAGAATTTGACCTTTTCAAGGATAATTATGCTCAATTTCGACACAGATATGGATTCATCTGCAAAGGCATCCATTTCTAGCACAAATTAAATCAAACTTCTTTGCCGTTTATCTCTGGTATGTGCACATTTGATCGAGGGGAAAGTCTTTCTCATTCCTTCCGGGCCCTCAGTGTGTGGGAGGACGAGACCACTATGATTTGAAATTCTTGTGGGGATCTTCAGAAGAAAACCGTGTGACGTGTGGTTTTCCACATATGTGAACAGTTACTGCATTCTAGACAAAACAAGGGGAGCAGAGCGGGAACTCCTTGAGTGAGTGGAAAGTTATCCCGGCAATGAATTCCCTTTGTTTCCTCACAGGTGTCAGCCTTAACCCCATCATCGTCTATTGTGCCAACCAACAAGAAATGGACCGATGGTTTGGTCTTCTGAAAGAAAATATTGAAGCCAACGGCGGCAACGCTGTCGCACCGGAAAACTATACCAGAGTCAAAGTAAGTTCTCACAAACGGCCTGTCACATCTGGGCCGGACGGAAAGTGGAATGGCGTTCTATTGTAGTGTGTGTGTGTGTGTGTGTGTGTGTGTGTGTGTGTGTGTGTGTGTGTGTGTGTGTGTGCTTTAACTCTGTTGGGTGGTCAGAAGGTGCTTAAAATGTCCCGAAGAAGCTGCTCAAGGGTCTGTATTTTTATATTAGTATTAGGTAGTTAGTACAGTACCTCTACTTACGAACATCTCTTCATATGAAATTTTCAAGTTACGAAACGTCACAACAGGAAAATATTGCCTCTTGTCTCGAAAGAAATTTCAAGCTACGAAAGGTATATATTTGATGCATTTTTATGCTTTAGAAAACCTTTGTCTGAATTTTAGGGGGGCTTGGAACGGATTAGGGCATTTACATGGAAAACACGTCTCTACTTACAAAATTTTCTAGTTAATCATTTTTTTTCCAGAACCAATTAATTTCGTATTAGAGGTACCACTGTATTTTTAATTCTATGATGCTAGGTGAGGGGAAAAAAAACAAAAGCACCCTGTTGGAACAAAATGAGACTGGCAGAAGCAGAAAGTACAGAATGCCGAACAATCTGAGCTCCAAAAACTATCAAAACAATAGTTCTCACCATAGTCTTTCTGCGCTTGGACGTTACCTTTATACATGTCTTAACTTGCCCGGTGGGAAAATATCTGTTTCACCAGGCAATGAAGAAACAGGATGTGTGTGTGTGTGTGTGTGTGTGTGTGTGTGTGTGTGTGTGTGTTTTTTGTCTAATCCAAACTAATAAATCAAAGTTCAAGTAGGAGTTACAGTTGTTTCTTTCATCACTGTTCTCCCCGTCACCAC